AGATCATAATGAGTCATAGGTACAAAACATGAGTTATGTCATCCTGGGTCGTCTGAGGCCCCCAACTGAGAAATAAACAAACAATTTGTCATCAGCTGTCGGAATTTATAGAACATAAAATTCCTGCACGGCCCATAACATAGTGAATACGGCTCTTGGTTGACAGCTCTAATGTATAGTAAAGCTCTTCTGACATGTTTCCCAACTAGAAAGGGTTACTTTCCCAAATTTCTGACGGCTATCAAATCGGTTTTCTGGACCCAAATTTTTTGGCCTCATTATATTTTTATAATATATTGGACGCTGAAGGGTGTGCCAATCGCCTTATTTGATTGACTTTGCACTGCCAGCTGTTATTCACCTTATTCTTTTCATAAACTTAATGGTAATCACAACTGGCGGGTGCAATAAAGCACTCCCTCTTGCCGATTCATGGAAAAACGACAACCAACTGGCAACGCAGCTTTTAACTAACTCATGGTTGTACATATAGCGCACTACTTATAATAATAAATTGGGTCGGCAATGCTGGGTAGAGAAGCTTATGTTCTCTAATTTAATGCTCAGACATGAAGCACAAAATACCCGATAGAAGTCGAACAAAATTTACTGGGATAGATAGAAACAAATAAAGATCAATACCAGGGAATTCCAAACAGAATTTGAAATTTTGTTTAAGAAAATTTAACCTTTTTAAAAGATTAAAACCATGTTTGCCAATGACTATATCAAGAGTGTTAAATCAAGATCTATAAATAAAACCTCATGCCAAGAATTCGTGCCAAACATGTTTCTGAAATGTCTCATCAATCGTGTAATGACTGCTGTAACAAACTCAAAAAAAAGGTTTGAAAAAGACATTCATTGAAAAGACATTCATTGTAACCTGATATTTTTAACATAGGCAAGATGCCAACACCAAGCACTAAAAAGATTGGCTAAATTGAGTTCCTTTGATTAGCTATTATCAAGGAGGGCCGAAACCCAATATTTCACTATTCCAAATACATTCCAGAAAATATTTCCGATTATAAAATTTCGTACACATTCTAAGTTTGGGCAAGTTAACGTGGAAAATTATATAAATCACTATATCATGACATAAATATAAAAGGTCATTGTGTTCTCTGTGTTGTTTCTTATCAATATGTGACATTTTTATCTAATTGTCTGACAGCAGGAAATCTCTAATTTTCAAATAAAAATGTTCTGAATTATTTGTAAATTCAAAAATTTACTATATCAAATAAAATGAATTTCGAATGTCCTCAAATATTTGATTTGTTTGGTTATTATTCATCTCAGCAAAACAACTTAATGCAATGGTCGCTCACTTGCATGACAAAGTTAATTTAACTGTTAATTTTATGACAATGAGGCTCAGTAAATCAGTAAAATTCGGTCAATACTAATTATTACTGGCAATAAAATTTAATAGTTCTACTATGTCAAATATTTTTATTATACAGAAATTAACAAAATCAACAGATGTGGGTTAAAAAGAACTTTGATGTGCTTCGCGCAACTAATGGCCTCCATAAAAAGGTGCATTGTATGAAAAATAAATTATATCCTGATTAAAATAAAAACTTGGTTAAGATATATTAGGAGCAACCAACCAATCCCTACTCTCCTCTCTTAAGGATAAAAATCGTATCTTATTTCTAACTTTACCCTAACTGACCTTATAACAGAATTAGTATTTATAATATCTCTGTGGTTGTGTCAACTTGTGTGCGCGTGTGTGTGAATTAATTTCCTAATTTTGGGTGAGTGAACACGTACCACTTTTGTTAGAAAAACCTTCCATTTTATATTCTGTACGATTTAAACCTTATCTAAGGTATTGTTTGCGCTCCAGATTTCATATTCAGTTTTTCTTTATTTGTTGTTATCAATCATTTATCACCTTTTATGATAATTATGAAAGTTGAAATAAACTAAGTACTCCCATAATGTGTGTACCAGATTAGGGTTAGGCCATAATTTTATTCTGATTTTCCTTATTTTAGTTCTATTACGAGTTCGGGGACTGTTTTTTGTTAGCAAAGTGAATATACCCCTGCCCATAGGTTTCAGTCCCTTTACACAACTTGATGTAATGTAGGCAAACAAAATTAGTTACCTCCGTATTGGTACACATACTTCTGAAGTGCCTAAACTTATACTTATAGAATTGTAACTTTATGAAAACACTGTACAATGCAGAGATATTGCTTTCAATCCTGCCTCCACCATTGCCAACTAGCCACTGAGTCACGTCCGCTATATTAACCATAAACATTGTTTTATAAATAAAACTTTCACTGCTTGAATCCCCCCAGGCTATATTTTCATAATTAATATTAAAGTATTGTTAATTTCAACCCTGCTCCAACGCTGCAGTTTTCAGCGTTATACATTGGGAGCATATTACTCAACAAATTGAAAATTAAATAATTTTTTCATCATTTTTTTTTAAATACGACATTGTAATTCCACACCAGATTTAAAATAAAAACATTTGTTATATTTTATCTAGCCCGCATATTTTGGATATTTACATTTCTTTTTTTTGTTTTGAGATTGCAGCGAACTGTTGTGCTAAGATCTTAAATATCCTTAGCATGGAGCATGTTTAAAAATTCAACTTCATGCAGTTAGTTCACAGATTCTAGAACGCTCCTCTGTTATTTGGAACTTATTGTTAGCTAGTTATTTTTTAGATGAGGCACGAGACTTGATAAATTCTAAAAAGGCAGAGAACCACGGTTCCATATAATCCAGGTAAGCTTTTGGCATTTCGCAGGTCGACCGTAAATGCACCAGAAAAAAGTCTCTTTTATTTATGAGTGAAAGTAGGCGACCTTGATTTGAACCAAATATATTATAAAAATTTTAAAAAAAATGTATAAAGAAAATAATTTTTTTTTCTTCTGAAAGTTAATAAAAATACATTTTTGACTATTTTTAGAAACCATTGATACTAGATCCTTATCAGCGATTCATGAGAATAATCAATCATGTAGATAAGATCAACTGACAAGAACGGATAGTTATCACTTGTCAGTCATCATGAGTTTATTTTTTTATGTTTTGCCGCGATTTGGGAACCACAGCTCAAGTTAATATGTTTTACTAATATGCATGTACTTGACAGCTAATTATCGGCCAAAATATAGCAGCATTATTAGCTGAATAAACAGAGTATTAACTGATTTTTCAACTCATTATGCATAATAGATTATCCAACCTAATTAAAAATTATAACACAAATAAATATACGTGACATTCCGTTCGATCGGAGTCAGAGTTCTTCAGACAAACATATTTCGGCTATGAAATTTGTCAGTTTGCCGCAATACATTTTAATCGCATAGAAAACTTATCTTTATTCTTGCTACAACATCTTTGCATTATATACAGTCTGGCATGTTTTTAATGTATTTAAAGTAATATTTTTGCAGAAGTGAAGAGTTGATATTGGCTCATTACTCTCTTGACTTTAAGTTGATGGCCTGTGACTTTTTTTAACTTTTTATAACAAATTTTGTTGTCTGCGACCAGCTGTACTCATGCTAAAATAATATTGCAGGTCTTTTGCAACTCATGAAGTTATTACAAACTCCCTCTATCTATTCCAGATCTTAGTCAATTTCATTGTTTTAATTTTAGTCGAGGGCCTTTGACTTTTTTGAGAAACTTTTATAACAAATTGTCTGCAACCAGCTCTATTCAAGACGAAATAATATCGCAGGTCATTTTGGATTATGTTTTATGACATATTTATAAGCCTCTGTTTTCAAACAAGACTATGTACAAGAAGCTACTGATATCTAACGACATATAAGGAGCTCCAACAGACATGGGCAAAGTACGGCCAGCGGATCGAATCTGGGCCCGTTGGGTAGTTCAATCTGACTCGCTTGATACTGCCACAACTGAACTAAAACGGAATATTGATGTTTTAGCTGAAAATAGCTCAGGGAATTTGTTGAGATTGCAATTAAATTTAGTTTTGGCACAAGGCTTATTGTTTTCCACCTTTGCTTTGTAACACTTGGTTCTTTCAGGTCCACGTGGGGGGTATTTCAGGTACACAGGTCCAGAAATATTTTATTTGTGATGAAAACAAAATGGCACTAGCTCGGTGGTTCTCAAAGCGACGTAGACAATTTTTTGAAGGGAGCGTGAAGCTAATTGAAAATAAAAATATGTGTTACGTTTGATCTTGCCTGCCATATTTTGGAAATTTACATTTCACTATTTTGGATATTTACGTATCATCCTTGTATTTACAACATGTTTATTGAATAAAACATACTTTCACATACATACTTACTATCTGTTATTTGTAGCCTATTGTTGCTAGTTATTTTTGGGATGGGGCGCGAGACTTGACAAATTCTAAAAAGGGTGGTGGCTTAAAAGTTTGAGAAACACTGCATTAACTCATCTAGTCCACTCGCATACCCATGAATTTCACATCAGACAAAATGTAACATGAAAACTACTTTCTTTTTGTCTGATAAAAAGTTGGCAAGTACAGATTAATCAATTATGCATTACCCGACGTTAACGGTCTGGAAAGGAAACCCAAGCAACTGCCAAGAAATTTTTTATCAAAAAGATGTAGGAGAACTCAAATTTCAACTTCATGAATTATAGGCGAGAAAGTAAATCAAGAACACTGTGCCATATCACTCGGAACAAAGCCGTTTACAAGCCGCCACCGCCGTAATATTTAACAATATGTACGAAGCAACCATTTTCTACAGTCATCACAAACACATTCACTTATACAAATCAGTAAATTTATTCCCTGATCATGCTAAACATATGAACCAGACATACGCAAAATAAAAAAATAAAAAACGGTATTTCCGAATGAAGAAAGCCGAAAACCAATAATACAAAGATGGAGGGAATTGAACATTAGTTAGTTACTACAAATAAAAAAAGCTTTAGCCGTTCCCGTTCAAGGTTATCAAAATGGAAGAACAAAAATACAATACACTTACAATATATCTTCATCTGATACAAGTTTCTCCAGTTCATTACTTTGAAGCTCTAAAAATATTTAATACATTTTATATACCATTTAAGACATTTTGCCCGCAGCAAAGAAGTAGATAAGAATGGTCTCTGAGAAGAATTATCGGTGACCACTAAAGTGCCAAAGAGCTACATGGTTTATATGAAAACATGGCGGCAATTTACAAGTTAGTAAACACGGATTGACATGAAAGACTTAGGGAAGGTCCTGTCAATGTCATCAGAAAAACAGCGATGAGGCAATGAATCCCGCATAAAAGATGTTTTTGGAATAAAACTTTGGACATAACATTTTATGGGACCTTTTTCAGGTATCCTCTCAACTAATATACGAATAGTCACACTAACTAATAAAAGTATTTTGTTTATTGGGCCCATTCGTAGTTCACCAATATTGACCATTAAGTGGGATGAGGGGATAACTGGAAAAAGGTCATTTTGTCGGGTACAATGGTAGACTGATCGGGTCCGATATAGTTTAGTACCACATGCACTTCTAGTTGGCCTGGCTCCACAATTTTTGCATATGTCATTCCTAACCCCCCACCTGACTACATCACTAAAAAAGTACATCACTACGACGTCAGAGTGACATAATAAAGATCTCCAAAGTATACGAATGGTCGTCTAAAATGCGCAGACGATCACCCCAAATCGAGCAATCTATTTCTCTCGTCGCAACGTTCACGATATGAGAGAGACCACTGGCGTTAGTGAGTTAGTTATCGCTGGCGCAAATGCCGTCTCGGACGATCGTAGCTATACTTTGACAAGCTCTTATGACTGATTGTGACGTCGTAGTGACATAATTTTTGGATGACATAGTCAGATAGGTACTTGTGGTACTAAATTATACTAGACCCGACTGATCGACGTCAAGTACAATTATAGGTCTACTATCTTGAAAATACTGTCATCTCCCCCGTGTGCGACATTGTCTCCCCAATATATTAATACCTTGGATGTTTCGCGAAAGTATAACTTTGACTTACCATAATGATGCATGTTCCCCATTGCCTCTACATGACAAACATAAATAAAAAGCAAGAACAAAGCCTCTAAATACCAAAACATTAGTCCAAATAATCTGAAAAGTGTGAAGAGGATTTTTACAATAAAATAAACATAACGTATCACCACTATCTGACACAGATCTCCGATTCCAAGAATAGCCTCCACGTTAGTGCAATCCCCTCCTTTTGCGAGACAGTCCGGGCCTTTACAGCCTATCGGCGAAAAGACTAAAAGTAAGCGCATCACCATTGGATTTCTCGGGAAAAAATAATCTGATTTAGCCGAAGAAAAAAAATTTACTGCATCATTCGAGAGTTTTCAGCAAAAATAAACGCACTTTTTGACCGAAACCAATCTAGATTATTGTCGAGAAAAACATGGTTGTGCCAGACGCCCTCGTTTCAGAGACAAATGGACTTTTTTTATAGAACCAAATGTCAGGTCATCCTGAAATCGGAGAACTGTGCTGATGATTTAGCAGAGTTGTGGATTCTGAAGATCGGCAGGTTTTCAAGTTGGATTTACAGACTCCCAACGAGTCAAAATTTTAAACATCTTGACTTGGGAATTTCACTCTCAATACAGCAATAAAGAATAAAAAATTCCAGTAGACATTCAATAAGGCATGAGGTTGAACAGACATTCCCAACACGTTGTACAAACGTTATTGCATAAAAACTTGGGGATAGTGGTAAAATCTTTTTCGACACTGACATATGCTAAAACAAAAAATCTACCCCATCAACACCGAAATAGAGCCAAGAATCGATCTTTGTGTGTTGTGCGAAATCTGCAAGCACATTGGTCTCATTAAAGGATAGGATAGGATTTACATATTTATCCCGGGGGAGAGGAAAGTCGATAAGACGGCTTATCCATATGACGAACCACGACCTCTCGTCCGGTTACCATTCCAAGTCGGGTATAAAATAATTGTCAAGTTTGTTATTATCATTTTTCAATATTTTCCGTTAAAAAAATTTCTTCTATTTTCTTTTTATGAAATTTCCTCTATTTTAATTTCAGTTCCTGGAGTCGCAGAAAAATTTTGGCTATAGCCTACCGTGAATCCTGTAATCGTTGTAAATATGATTAACCCTCTGACCGCACTGGAATAATTTACGATAACAGTTTTAGGTGAGTGAACACGTACCGGTACCACCTCTTTTCGGCAAAAACTTTTCATCTTATATTTCGTACTTTTTAAACTTTATCTAGTGTTTTGTTTGCTCTGCTGATTTCATAATCAGTTTTTATGTGATTTTATCAATCATTTTATTGCCTGTTATGCTGGAATCCAAAAAGCCAAGATAGACTAATCTAAAATTAGCTATTAATACCTGTAACGGGCGCGCAGTTTAATATTTCAATAAAAATGATGGTTTTAAGCATGTGAACCAGTCTATAAGCGTCCACCACCCAAAACATTCTCAAAATAGGTATCAAAGATATTGCTATAGTAAAGCATTGAGAAAAATTTTCTGGGGTCAAGGGTCGGGGAAACGACCATAGTGTCCGTATTTATGTTATGTATTGCTTTTTTATGCTTATATGTTTTTTCAAATAAATTCCAATGCCAAACGGAATGTTTATATGATGACCACTAATTCAATGCTGTTTTGTCGGGTCCGAGTGTTGTGGCAACATCAGAATTTGGATTATAAGACTCCAACCACGTGCGAGAGAAATTATATATATTGCTGTTTTCTCCTGACGCTGGGCTGAAGGTCGGCCGTTTTTGATTATGTCTGCTGTTTAGTATTCATAAGATAAGTTTATTTCGACTTTATAATCAGCATAAACGGCGATAAAACGGTTGATAAAAATAAATAAATGAAAACTGATTGTGAAATTGCTGTTTTAATTGTAGAGTTGCCGTATCAATAAAAAACCAATCCCGAGTCCTATTTGTAAATATTAATACCTCAAAATAGCAGAAGTCACGGTAAATCTTTTGTTTTGTATGTGAGGAAGTCAATAGCACAAGACTCAATCACATTTTTTGGCCTAAATTGTGGATGGAATCCACTTATGCCCAACAGTATTATAAGCTCAAAAACTACGTCCGAATTTAGAACCAAACTTAATTAAGAGGAATTATTGGATTAATTTATTGGAATTATATTAGCTTTCGTGCAGTAAGGACATTCCACTCTTCAGAAAGTATTTTCCAGACACAGTAGGTGCAAAGAAGTTGAGGAAAGCCTGGCAGATGAAAAATATTTCCGATTGATTAACTATGTCATCAGGAAACAAGTTTCGAGCCACCTGCTGATCCATTGTCTTTAGTTCCCACATGTTTTTATGGTTTATTAGCTTTATACACTCCCTTCCTTGGATCGTCGCTTAAGCAAAGATCAATAAATTCTAAGTAATTGATCCGCATTTTATGCTGGACTCTCCATTGTTCCATTTCTCTTATCGCGTATAATTGATAAATAACAACCTCAAGTGTAAACAAAGGATTTCTACATATGGTATTTACTAATTGTTTACCTTTTTGGCAAGGGCATGTCCCAAATTTTTGTACTCTCGAAAAATTTGAACCAAGATGGCAGACATCCGTACGTAGTATGTGTGCCAGGTTAGGGTTAGGTCATAATTTTATTCCAATTTACCCTATTTCAGTTCTATTATGAGTTCGGGGACTAGCCAAGTGACTCCTGTAGTATTTGTATCTGAAATTATGGCCTAACCTAGTACACATGCTACGTTTCGATGTCCGCCATTTTAGTCACATACTTCGGGAGTACCCACATGTTTACGTATTTCGATTTATTGTAGAAACAGATAAAAATGCGATTCATACCCTATTCCCATTCTTTCACAGCGGAGCCTGGGACATGAACTTAAAATAAACTGACTATTGTAAATATCGTCGCTGTGCCGTACCTCTTTTTCTTGTGTATTGTTATACTATACCGCAGCAGTTTTAAACTGCAGTTATACTGGTTAGGGATGAATGTCGCACATCCGTGTCTTAGGCCAGTAGGGTCTTGAACATGCATCCAGTCTCTTTTACATTGTTTAATTCTTACGCAGATACTGTTACATTTTTGAGGCAAACAAACATAGCCTATATACATATCCTGGGCGGCCACGGCAATTAATTCAAAAAAATTATTTCGTAATCATTTGTTTTCATCCTCATTTCTATAGTAACAAAGTTTAACAGGAAATTTTTGCATTTCCAGCAATTTACAGTGTATAAAACAATTGTAATATAATATTTAGTATCTATCGCGGAATTTATCGTTATCCCAGTGTCGTTGATAATAATATAGTTTCTTTTTAGGTTGGCGGTATTAATTCATAAGCAAACATGATAGAATAACAGCCGACTTAAAATATTTAAATCAGCGGCGACTTCATAAATAAAACACTATTTTCGCTCTCAATTCTCCGTCATAATAGAAATTTGAGGATCGGCTTCACTCATTTGATTTTGGCGATTATCGCTTAGTGACATTTGCGTTTTTCTGAACTAACGTATAGATTCGTGAAAATAACAAAATTGAAAGTCCGTGGTAGCACAAAGCCTAATATTTGTGTGGAGGGATAATTGTGGCAGACTTTAGATTAACGATGTGAATGGAAAAAATCAAGAGTTCGCAAATAGTAGGTCGTTACTCGTGACCCACAAGAAATTGGAAATCGTGGGTCGCGAAACTTGACACCTTGGGTCGCTAAACAATTTAAACTTGCCATCCCATACTGACATATTATACATTATTTACAAATAAATAGTTATAAAATTAAATCAATTACAATAAGTAACAGATCAAGGCTAGAAGTAGAAAAATTTCTTCGGGTTGCCGTTTTTCAAATTAAACCTCGAATTGATATGTTGTGTTCTAAACACAGAGCCTATAATTCTCATTAGGCAGAATAAATGCAAATAATTATTGTTGTTTTATATGTTTCATACAGTTTTGTGCAAGAAAATTGCCACTGCCAATAGGTGTCTTAAATTTATAATTAATTAAGTATTTTCCACAAATTTATTTGCTCACAATATGCTTGGGTGGCGAGAAATTCGAATAAATTTTATAGCGTCGCGTCAAAACGTACTTGTGGACACCTGGACTAAATGGCACTCATGCTGACGATAAACACTCAGAATTTATGAAAAAAATTAGCCGTTTTAAAATATGTGTATACTGTTAAGGACTTTGCTTTTACTGTAAAATTTGAAACCTTTCACTAGGTTCATATAGTTGCCCCTTTTTCTGTGCTTCACCACATTTCATAGGTACGGATACTGTAATGTTTATTAAAGTCTTTTTTGTAGAGGCAAAAAAACAACAACACTAATTTCAATCCTATCACACATGCCATTTGTATTTATAAGTGCTTCACAATGATAATACTATAGCTTGCGGTATTAGAAAATTATATAAATATTTACGTAGGGATTTTTAAATGTATTCGAACTAGTCAAGTATTCGGTTATGGTTATTTCTGCCTGTCAGTCGTTTTGTCATTTTGTATTTTCTTCTTGTTGTTATTAAAAAATCGCTTTGCTTCTTGACTACTGGATTTATTTTCACTTTGAAGTTTTGTGCGATGACGTTATCAGAAATAAAAAGTGTTCTACGATCTCAGTCGAAAAGACTACCGGTACCGTACTACTTCATTTTGACTTTAGTGTACATAGATTTGAGCATTTCTTGTTTTTATGACTTGAAGTATCAGAGCCGTAGTTAAACTCATGCTCGGCAATGTGGCGCATCGTGCTAAGCGTTAGGAATACGCTCGCCACCGCATCTCTGATTACCCTTCGTGGGATCGCAGGTTTGAATCCCATGCGGGGATGGTCATGTGCGAGAGGATTGCTGGACTACTCGCCGCCGTAGGGTGGTTCACGTAACCGCTGGTCGGTTACGGCTTCCTTCACCATCGAGTCCATGTTTCCAAAACAAATAACTGGCTAACTAATCCCATACCCGATCTGGACTGGTAACCGGACGAGAGGCCGTGGTTGGCCATATGATTTAGCGATCATGTTCATGATTTTTGTCGTGTCATCAATATACTCTCACGTGAACGGCTTCCGTTCACTGATAAATCGGCTTACCATACGTCCCGC